AACAGACACGGGGCCTGTAAGCCCTGGATTTCAGGCTTTCGGCCTGAAACAGACACGGGGCCTGTAAGCCCTGGATTTCAGGCTTTCGGCCTGAAGGACGCAGGGCCTGGAAAATGGCCCGCGTGTGCAGGCGCAGCATGCAACACACACACACACACACACACACACACACACACACACACACACACACACACACACACACACATGTCGTGACCTGCACAGACAAAAACAAAATAATGGCCTAAAAGGTAGGGAAAGAAGAGAGAGAAGTGATATGATGCTCATATGGGTAGGTAGAGTTTTGGGGTCAAGGCATCTGAAGATTCAATTCGATTCCATGATGCTTTTCAAACTCGCCCTGCCCGAGAGTGCATAGCCATCCACACATGCCAACCCAAGCAGAGATCATGCTGCAGTCCCCGACTATGTTGTCACGCGTACACATACGGGGCCGTTCCGTACATAACGTACGGATATTTTACGTACGTAATACTTGGCCACGTACCTTCTGTACGTACAACATACGCGGAAGAAAAAAAAAAAAAAAAAAAAATCAGGGGGGGGAAAAATGTTACGTAACATTTACGGACGAGCAATATTTGTCTGAGCACCAACCCCAAATTCTTATTAAAACACGAGGGGAAAAATAAAAACAGAAAAGGGGTGATTAAAAAAAATAAATCACAGCAACGGAAATATGCCTGTGTGTGTCTGTGTGTTATCGGAAGGAACACACACACTGACACTTAAGACACAAACAGAACACACACGCGCCCACACATTTTGTGTTTTTCTTTTCTTTAATTATCGAAGGGCTAGATCCGATCATCCAATCAATAAATAGATTGGATTTCACCGTTAAAAAATGATGGGCAGGGGTGCATTCAGACTCGTCTTCTTCTTTATTCGGCATGCATGCAAACAGATGGCAATCGACACTGGCGCCAGGTGCCCACACAAAGCTCAGAGATATCAAGGCCGAGAACACAGTTCAGATTCAAACTCGCTGCAAATGGCTATGGCACCTGAGCGCCCTCACGTCACCCTTCCGACACTGTATTCACAGCAACTGTTCACACACACACCACTCTGGATCTCCCTGGATGTTCCACGCACGCTCACTCTGTACCGCACACTCACACACACACTCACTAGAGACTAACTCTAACCTATGGCAGATATGGCCGCCTTCTACCTCCTAGCTACTAACGGCGATGACCGCTATGTCTCCCTCGCAGCCCGCTTCGACTTCGGGCATCTGCAGACCACCTCGCACTAGACGCTCGGGCAGCGCTTCCGCATGGCTCACACAGAATCAATGAATGGCTGGACGCTGCCTCTTGATTTATACTTCTATTGGTCGCTGGTCTGCTCCTTTCCACCGGGCCCATGGTGCACTCACTCCCACACGGTACTTGCTGACTAGACAAAGTGCGACTGGGACTGGGTACCGCTGACTCTACAAAGTTGGACTGCCCACTTGCCCACTGCCTCTATCCTACCCTGGGCAACTCTCGAAAGGCCACTTCCGGACCTTCCGGAAGTCTGTGGACTTGGCCTTTCGGTACTGTAGCAGCTACGACTTTGACCTTTCAGGGCTGTAGCGGCTACGACCTTGACCTTTCAGAATTATGACAGCTATGACCTCTACACAGCTACGGCCCCTACTTGACAGACCTATGGATCGAAACCTGACAACTACACAGGCATATGACAGACAACAGTCAAATACCAAGACACAGGTCACGGGTTCAAACACACAGGGGTCCACTTGATACTGTACACAGGTGAGGTCGGGGTCTAGGGATCGAGCCCTGGGATCTGCGTCTACTACTGCAAAAGGTGAGAACCGTTTCAAGGGTGTTCTAAGCCACACACTGTATATACATGAAATCGGCCTTGGAACTTAGTTTTTCAGCTGATTTCAAGTATACAGGGCACATGGACACTAGCCAGCACCCTGACACCAAAACAAAACAAAACAAAACAAAACAAAAAACGTACGGCACCCCTCCCGTACAAGGAGCGTATGAGTATGGATTCGTACGGCCGTACGTGTACGTGGTGTCGTACGGATCGCTACGCAGGTCCCCGATTGCATGTCCCGGCACACCGTGACAGCAGTAGTTGATGAATTCAAAACCTCAACGAGCGATTTCAGAATTTTCTCCCAATACTCCTAATCCACCAGAGAAAACTGATCGAAACAAAACCCTGGAAAACCATTAGGTAGTGCAACGATGAATTCTTAACACAGGAAATTTGATCCATGCAGCAGATCCACAATCACCATTGTGAGCATGCAAAAAATGCCAAAAGCACATTCAGAAGGAAAATGAAGAAGGGAGAATAGCATCACCCCTGCGTAAAGATGACAAACACACACACATCAAGAAAGAGACCCCCCCCAAAAAAAAACAGAAAAGGAAAAAGAAAAGAAAGAAAAAAAAATATAGAGAACAGGAGGATATCATCACCTACCATGACGTGTCAAAGGGCACAAAGGCTGCACCAACATAAAGTGATGCGAGCACTCCCACAATGTACTCCACTGATGAGTTGAGTCCGATCGCAGTCACCAGATTGGCAGGTACAGACAAGACAAGACAATGCATGCACACACACACACACACACACACACACACACACACACAAACACACACACAGAAGANGAGAGAGAGAGAGAGAGAGAGAGAGAGAGAGAGAGAGAGAGAGAGAGAGAGAGAGCATGTACCAATGTCATTCTGTAATTTTCTAATTAACAATTCCACAAATGAATGCTTCAAATTGTCTTCTTGAGAGATGCACAAAGACCATAATCAAACCTCAAACAGAAAGTAGCCCGGATTTGGGCTCCTCTGGCCATGCACAGAAAACCTCCACACAAAAAACAAAAAGGCCTGATTTTTGCCTGCACCAGGTGGACCGTCCAGGTGACCCGCAGGCGACTTGCCCAGGCTGCACGGTCGGGCAAGCCAAGTAGAGCCTAGGAATTGTAGTATTTTTCACTCAGCTGCTTCCAGTGGAGTTTGAACTCAGCACCTGGTCTGTATTTCAACAGTTCAGTCCAGGGGGGGTGTACCAACTGAGCTACCTAGGCTGCTGAGAATTCCGATTCTGAGTCTGTTTCGCCGTGGGTTGCTGTGGTTTCAGTGTGTATGTGATCAGATGCGAATGTATTTATGACGTGTGCTTGTCTAAGCCCAGGTGTGCGGCGTCCATGGATTGGGGGTGGGTTTGAGAGGGGCTGGGGAGTAGGGCTAATTTTGTGGCTTACGTTCTTCCTGTCTAGGCATGGTGAAGGCACGCCGCATGTACGGAACTTCTGGTGTCATCCTCCGCCATCCCCATCTTTGTCCTCATCTGCTGCTGATGAAGATCCTGGTATGGCACTGTCAGGGGTGAAGAGGGGGGAGGAGATGGACGCGAGGGCGGTGAAAATGAGGGGGGCATGAAAGTGCTGTCAACAGAGGCAGACCGGGAGTAGGATGGATGGATGGATGGGTGTAGTTTTCGCAGGCAGATGGAGTCTGGACTCTGAAAAAAACGTTTTTGAGTTGTTAATGTTGAAGCGTTTGCAGTCATAAGTTTCGCGGGCAGCTGTTTTTAAGTTATTAACGTTGAAGTTTGAAGTCGTAAGTTTCGTAACTTGATAGTTCTTCATTGCAAATTTTAGGAGCGCAGTGTTTGCACCATTGCAGTGCCGCAGTTTTGTTCGGTTTCCATCCGTTCGCACTTTGCGATATTTCTGTTTGGTGCTGTGGGGTTTTGCAGCTCGCTCATATGGTGGCGAATGCGCCACCGATGACGCAATGTTTCAGAGTCAGACATGGCCATCAGGTGTGTCACCCACCGTTCCCACCTCGCAGACGTACAGGGGGGGAAAAGAAAAGGTTCCCCACTCGCCCGCACGGTGAGCAGACCTCCCCGCACTGGCTGGCCAAGGAACTGCAACGCACAGTAGGTGACCCTTTTTTTTTCCAGACTATTTCTTGATTTATCCGTGTCATCCTTGAAAGCGCAGGGGGCATGCTAATCTTCTCTCTCTGTATCGTTCCAATTTTAACGGACGTTTTAAAGGACAGGAGGTCACCATTTCTATATTGCACACCATTTCTAGTATGGGTACTTGCGAGGGAGGTTGGGTTTTGGGTTTTGGGATTAGCTGCTTGTTCTGCTGCCTGGATTTAGGGCCTTTAGGCCTTTAGTAGATCTAGGGTTTAGGGTTTAGAAGCTCAAGGTTTGTGATTAAGGCTTTATGCTCCACATTGGACTCGAATGTCGATTAGTTATTGGCCGTTTCGGGGGATCAGAATTTTCTATTTAGGGTTTCGGATTTAGCTTTGTGGCCAAGTCTTCTACTATTTCTGGGTTTCCACATTCAGGGCAGCTGGAGTTGGAAGCCAAGGGGTTAGAGCTGCAGGTATAGCACTAAGCGCTTAGCTAAAACTACAGCTTTAATAGTTAGGACTCGGGGTTTCACCGTCTGGAGTCCTGGGCTCAGTATCATCAATCTTAGACTTTGGAGGTTGAGATGAAGGGTATATATCGCTAAAAGCTTTCGGAACAAAGGGCTTAGTAGTTACAACTAACGGTTTAATGGTTAAGAACCAAAGGTTTAACGGTTACGAACTAAGGGTTTAAACCATGGTTGCCCCGGACACGGACATCCGGATAACCGGACCCGTGTCCGGATAAAACCGGATGTTAACCGGACACACGTGCAACCCGACCCGGTCAGTCCGGTTGGGTGCACCTGTGTCTGGTTGTCCGGTTAAAAGGAAAAAAAAAAAAAAAAAAAAAAACCGACACACATGGCACACACACACAGACAGAGAGGTTTGTGTGGGTGGTCCAACATGCTAATAAAATATCAAATTTGGAAATATTAATGCATGCACAAACTCCAAAGTTCGGAACTTCGAATCTTGAACCGTTCGCTCGCCCGTCTGGCCCCAGCGCTGTCTGCTCGCCCGTCTGGCCCCAGCGCTGTCTGCTCGCCCTGTTGTCAGACCCTCATTCCTGTCCGGTCAGGCCTCCCCCCTCGTCTCGCTCCCGCGACGGAAGTTCAAGAACCGAAAAACGAGAGAGAGAGAGAAAGAGTCGCCCGTCTGTCCATTGCCACCTGCCCGCCCCGTTGCCAGACCCCCCTCTCCCTTCTACCCCTCCCCCCAGTGTCCCACTCACCCTCCGTCCCTCCTCCTTGACTACCTCGTCCCTGTCCCGCCAGCGGGAAACGAACACCTCGATACTTCCCTCCGAAGTTCTCCAACGGCAGGCCCTTCAGGGCCGGTCTGGTTGGGGCGACGGTCTGCAAAAAACAATGCCAACAATTTTCTGAGGTCCCCCAGGCCCGGGAAAATGGCCTGGGGACCCCAATTTTTTTTTTCCAATTTCTTCAAATCAGGGTCCAACCGGACCCTCCAAACCCCACACAGGACACCGGCCTGTCTGGATCGGGATCCGAACGTCCGGTCACAACCATGACCGTTTAACGGTTAAGAACTAAGTGCGATTAAGTTAAAAAGTTAAAAACTAAAAAACTAACTTCAACTAAGGCGTGGGTGTGAGAGCATACAGACAGTGTACCAAATCGCACAAACATTCACTGCAGACACGAAGAATATAATAGACAAATAACCCAAGCAAAGGTAATATAACTCGAAAAGTGTACACGCAGAGCAGAACGGAGCTGATTTGGCAATAAGAGTCGTTACAAAACCGATGATTACGAACTAAGGGTACCATAGTTTGAAGTCGTGGGCCCAATGTCATCATCCCAGAGAGTTTGGGAATTGATGTGGCCTCTTCCACATGCAGTTCCCGGGGAACTTCTACCTTTCTTTCCCCTTTTTTTTTCCCCCTTTTTGAAGTTTTCCCCCTTTTTTGCCCTTTCTAATACCGTATTTTGAGGCGGGGTACGATTTATATCTCTGAATAACATTATTATGTAATTGGGAAGGATCCCTAACATGTATATTGATTATGTAAGGAAAGAAATTTACCCTTGGACTTCCCGGACTGAATTTGCCAGAAATGGCTGTCAGGTACATCCAGGATCAAAGTCCTTGGTGTTAGTATGCCCTGATTGGGCAGGAATATAACAACTAACCGGTGTTCAAACTTATAGTTTCACCATCCTAGCTGTGTCATCATATCCACTAGACACAACTCCTACCCGGTCTTCTACCAGCCTAGGGGTCTGTGTGTGTGATAATCTGTGTGTGTGTACCATGCAGCTGATTGGCACTCTCTCTCTCTCTCTCTCTCTCTCTCTCTCTCTCTCTCTCTCTCTCTCTCTCTCTCTCTCTCTC